TCAGCCTGCGAAGCTGCATCGACCGAGTTGGTTGCATGTTTTACGCCTACCGATTCACCATCTCTCTCGACGACCAATCTTAGCTGACGTAGGATTAAGTTGAGAGAGATTGAATTTCAGATGGTCAGAAGAATGTACGGCGTCAATCTATGAAATGTCTGACTGGCGTGTTTAGACAAGTAGGCGATGAATACTATCTGACTGCACTCCTCGGATTTCTCACAACCAAGATTTGGAGACACTTGTTGGCATAACTCAAAATCGTCCATAACCACGCTGATGTATTCACTCCTACATTGTGTAAACACTCACTAATCTTTATACTATTCTTCCTAGTTAACCCGTCCATCTGCATTCATCCTAGTTTGTCTTGTGAACACGTTGAGCGGAAATCTTCGTGTGTTCGTCGTGAGACTCGCCTCTGTGAAATGTGAGATGATGTTTCAGGACTGGTCTGCACCGACTCCTAGTTTAAAGATAGACAGTGAAGTGGTTCAGCCTGTTGACTGACCACTTCACTAACTTGTCAAGTTGCATCACACCTCACGCACTGACTGACTGACTGACTGACTTACTGACTGCCTGACTGATTGCTGACGAAAGCTCACCACTGATAGAAAAGGCTCCTCTGGCCTTCGCCAATCTACATCGTCTCTCGCCTAGATATGCGTGATATCCCTCTATGGAAGAAAGCACGTGTCTGCTGACTAGCATTTCGTTCTCTCCTTCTTTTTCAGCCTGTGAGACATGGCCATTGAAAGTGGATATAAGGATATGAAGAGAAGAGGCTGGTTAGGTGTTGTCGACCATAGGTGTCTGAGTTCTATCTCCCGTCTTAAGTGGTATAATATGCTGAGTAATGCTGATGTTAGACGTGGAGTGTTAGGCAAGCAGGGGAAGTCAATCGATCAGCCTGCGAAGCTGCATCGACCGAGTTGGTTGCATGTTTTACGCCTACCGATTCACCATCTCTCTCGACGACCAATCTTAGCTGACGTAGGATTAAGTTGAGAGAGATTGAATTTCAGATGGTCAGAAGAATGTACGGCGTCAATCTATGAAATGTCTGACTGGCGTGTTTAGACAAGTAGGCGATGAATACTATCTGACTGCACTCCTCGGATTTCTCACAACCAAGATTTGGAGACACTTGTTGGCATAACTCAAAATCGTCCATAACCACGCTGATGTATTCACTCCTACATTGTGTAAACACTCACTAATCTTTATACTATTCTTCCTAGTTAACCCGTCCATCTGCATTCATCCTAGTTTGTCTTGTGAACACGTTGAGCGGAAATCTTCGTGTGTTCGTCGTGAGACTCGCCTCTGTGAAATGTGAGATGATGTTTCAGGACTGGTCTGCACCGACTCCTAGTTTAAAGATAGACAGTGAAGTGGTTCAGCCTGTTGACTGACCACTTCACTAACTTGTCAAGTTGCATCACACCTCACGCACTGACTGACTGACTGACTGACTTACTGACTGACTGCCTGACTGATTGCTGACGAAAGCTCACCACTGATAGAAAAGGCTCCTCTGGCCTTCGCCAATCTACATCGTCTCTCGCCTAGATATGCGTGATATCCCTCTATGGAAGAAAGCACGTGTCTGCTGACTAGCATTTCGTTCTCTCCTTCTTTTTCAGCCTGTGAGACATGGCCATTGAAAGTGGATATAAGGATATGAAGAGAAGAGGCTGGTTAGGTGTTGTCGACCATAGGTGTCTGAGTTCTATCTCCCGTCTTAAGTGGTATAATATGCTGAGTAATGCTGATGTTAGACGTGGAGTGTTAGGCAAGCAGGGGAAGTCAATCGATCAGCCTGCGAAGCTGCATCGACCGAGTTGGTTGCATGTTTTACGCCTACCGATTCACCATCTCTCTCGACGACCAATCTTAGCTGACGTAGGATTAAGTTGAGAGAGATTGAATTTCAGATGGTCAGAAGAATGTACGGCGTCAATCTATGAAATGTCTGACTGGCGTGTTTAGACAAGTAGGCGATGAATACTATCTGACTGCACTCCTCGGATTTCTCACAACCAAGATTTGGAGACACTTGTTGGCATAACTCAAAATCGTCCATAACCACGCTGATGTATTCACTCCTACATTGTGTAAACACTCACTAATCTTTATACTATTCTTCCTAGTTAACCCGTCCATCTGCATTCATCCTAGTTTGTCTTGTGAACACGTTGAGCGGAAATCTTCGTGTGTTCGTCGTGAGACTCGCCTCTGTGAAATGTGAGATGATGTTTCAGGACTGGTCTGCACCGACTCCTAGTTTAAAGATAGACAGTGAAGTGGTTCAGCCTGTTGACTGACCACTTCACTAACTTGTCAAGTTGCATCACACCTCACGCACTGACTGACTGACTGACTGACTGACTGACTGACTGCCTGACTGATTGCTGACGAAAGCTCACCACTGATAGAAAAGGCTCCTCTGGCCTTCGCCAATCTACATCGTCTCTCGCCTAGATATGCGTGATATCCCTCTATGGAAGAAAGCACGTGTCTGCTGACTAGCATTTCGTTCTCTCCTTCTTTTTCAGCCTGTGAGACATGGCCATTGAAAGTGGATATAAGGATATGAAGAGAAGAGGCTGGTTAGGTGTTGTCGACCATAGGTGTCTGAGTTCTATCTCCCGTCTTAAGTGGTATAATATGCTGAGTAATGCTGATGTTAGACGTGGAGTGTTAGGCAAGCAGGGGAAGTCAATCGATCAGCCTGCGAAGCTGCATCGACCGAGTTGGTTGCATGTTTTACGCCTACCGATTCACCATCTCTCTCGACGACCAATCTTAGCTGACGTAGGATTAAGTTGAGAGAGATTGAATTTCAGATGGTCAGAAGAATGTACGGCGTCAATCTATGAAATGTCTGACTGGCGTGTTTAGACAAGTAGGCGATGAATACTATCTGACTGCACTCCTCGGATTTCTCACAACCAAGATTTGGAGACACTTGTTGGCATAACTCAAAATCGTCCATAACCACGCTGATGTATTCACTCCTACATTGTGTAAACACTCACTAATCTTTATACTATTCTTCCTAGTTAACCCGTCCATCTGCATTCATCCTAGTTTGTCTTGTGAACACGTTGAGCGGAAATCTTCGTGTGTTCGTCGTGAGACTCGCCTCTGTGAAATGTGAGATGATGTTTCAGGACTGGTCTGCACCGACTCCTAGTTTAAAGATAGACAGTGAAGTGGTTCAGCCTGTTGACTGACCACTTCACTAACTTGTCAAGTTGCATCACACCTCACGCACTGACTGACTGACTGACTGACTTACTGACTGCCTGACTGATTGCTGACGAAAGCTCACCACTGATAGAAAAGGCTCCTCTGGCCTTCGCCAATCTACATCGTCTCTCGCCTAGATATGCGTGATATCCCTCTATGGAAGAAAGCACGTGTCTGCTGACTAGCATTTCGTTCTCTCCTTCTTTTTCAGCCTGTGAGACATGGCCATTGAAAGTGGATATAAGGATATGAAGAGAAGAGGCTGGTTAGGTGTTGTCGACCATAGGTGTCTGAGTTCTATCTCCCGTCTTAAGTGGTATAATATGCTGAGTAATGCTGATGTTAGACGTGGAGTGTTAGGCAAGCAGGGGAAGTCAATCGATCAGCCTGCGAAGCTGCATCGACCGAGTTGGTTGCATGTTTTACGCCTACCGATTCACCATCTCTCTCGACGACCAATCTTAGCTGACGTAGGATTAAGTTGAGAGAGATTGAATTTCAGATGGTCAGAAGAATGTACGGCGTCAATCTATGAAATGTCTGACTGGCGTGTTTAGACAAGTAGGCGATGAATACTATCTGACTGCACTCCTCGGATTTCTCACAACCAAGATTTGGAGACATTTGTTGGCATAACTCAAAATCGTCCATAACCACGCTGATGTATTCACTCCTACATTGTGTAAACACTCACTAATCTTTATACTATTCTTCCTAGTTAACCCGTCCATCTGCATTCATCCTAGTTTGTCTTGTGAACACGTTGAGCGGAAATCTTCGTGTGTTCGTCGTGAGACTCGCCTCTGTGAAATGTGAGATGATGTTTCAGGACTGGTCTGCACTGACTCCTAGTTTAAAGATAGACAGTGAAGTGGTTCAGCCTGTTGACTGACCACTTCACTAACTTGTCAAGTTGCATCACACCTCACGCACTGACTGACTGACTGACTGACTTACTGACTGCCTGACTGATTGCTGACGAAAGCTCACCACTGATAGAAAAGGCTCCTCTGGCCTTCGCCAATCTACATCGTCTCTCGCCTAGATATGCGTGATATCCCTCTATGGAAGAAAGCACGTGTCTGCTGACTAGCATTTCGTTCTCTCCTTCTTTTTCAGCCTGTGAGACATGGCCATTGAAAGTGGATATAAGGATATGAAGAGAAGAGGCTGGTTAGGTGTTGTCGACCATAGGTGTCTGAGTTCTATCTCCCGTCTTAAGTGGTATAATATGCTGAGTAATGCTGATGTTAGACGTAGAGTGTTAGGCAAGCAGGGGAAGTCAATCGATCAGCCTGCGAAGCTGCATCGCTCGAGTTGCTTTCATGGATAACGGCAGGAACTTAGCGGTAAATTTGTTCGAGAATTAGGGGAATGAAAGATGGTTTTTGTTTGGCATCGTCTGTCATTGTGGTGAGTCTACCTAATTTTTTTTCAACTTTCTAGGAATTTATATGTTTTGGCCTTCATGGTTTCGGATTTTGTCGGATTGTTACAGTTCATTTGCAATATGTTACTTAGGAGTGTTGTAGCGGTCCGCTAATGGGAATGTATGATTTGTCTGAATAGCTGTCACCTATTTGAATGTAGTGTGTGGCTGAGCTGTCTAGGTTGTATGTTTGAGATTCGTTCTAGCTAACTGGGGGATATACATTCAGTTTGAATGAATTTCGAGATGCTTACAGGTGTCCATCTTTCTTTCACCTGGATATTTCCATCTTACACTCATGGTTGACCAGAATGATTTCCATCTTCTTGGATTAATCATTATCATGAGTGCACGACATTAATTGTCGTGTCTTTCTCTATCTGCATCTAGTTTTCAACTGATGGTTAAATAAATACGTACGTACACATGCACAGCTTCATTTACCAAGTAAGTGAACAAATATGTGACAGTGTTTCTCAACAAAGGAACACAAAAGTTTACAGGATATAAAGAAGGACATCTTCAGTGCATACAATATTATTTTTTGTTCATTTTTTACATTGATTATAATAAACAAATTAATTAGTAATGATAGTAGTAATAACAATAGTAATAATAATAAAACATATGTCCATTATATGCAATGGTATATATAGGCGATCGAATATAGAAACGGAGTACACATGAGATCGACTGACTAGTAGTATAAACTTAAAGAGTGAAAACAGCGCGGCATAACTGCTGGACGAGAGAATTAAATGTCATTTAAGGAAGGATCATATACGAAATCATGATAATAACAATATTTAATCAACACTGTTCATTTTATTCTATAACAAAGATACATTCAAACATTTATCACTTAGATAGAAAAAATAATAACAAAAGAACAAACAAAAACAATTGAAACCAAACTACTGCATAATCACTTCGATTGCACAAAATCACACAGAAAGACAGGCAGACCCGGTTGACAAACGCACACTCACACACACCTCTGGGGGATCACTACTACTATTTCTGGTGGTACATTACGAAATGACTACTCCTAAAATCTTTACTTCGGACAGAAAGACACAAGGAGGAGTAGAATATTTTTGTCAAATACACATCTACCTGATAGTCTTGTCTTTTTGTAACTGCATTTGTGTGCACGTATTATCAATTCACCCGAAAACCCACCCACCCAAAAAAAGAGATACGAGACCACCAAAAGGAATAAGTGAAATGGGAATTGTGCGAGCATATGTCTGTGTGTGTGTGTGTGATAATTAAAGACGCGACGAACGCAAAAAGAAAGTTGTTTCCTAAGGGTATTCATCATTCATAACATTTCAGTGGATTAATACAACAATTAATTATTTAATTGTCATTATCATTGGAAAGTTTTTAGACTCAAAGTTTTTGTTGTATACACACAAACATGAAACAAGCAGAAAAATTCGCCTCCTTCGATAGATTATAGTTATGATCATAAATAGAGGAATCCATCATTCATTCTTCATCTGTATATGTTATACATACATATCCGCCACAAAGATATGAGAAGGTAGGTAGGTAGGTAGGTAGGCGAAAGAATTAGGAAGGAAGGATAGAAGAAAAAAAGGGTGGGTGAGTAAACACTTCTTTGAGATTTACTCCTGTTGTGCCCCTTCCAAGATAATACACACACAAAAATAGAACAGTTGTAATAACAGTAATAACATTGACAACAAAATTTTGGAAAAAGTAGTAGTAACTCAAGAGCAGAACACATTTAACAAATACAAAATGCAACTGTCAATCAAATAATAATCATACATGAAACAACAAAATGTCCTTCTAGAAGATAACGACGCTCCTTTAATCATTCTATTGCATGACTTTTGAACCTATGGAAAAATTAAAATATAACTTATATAAAGACCACACTTTTATGAAGAAAGAAGGAAATAAGGAGTGGATTCTTATATAAATAAAGTCGAATATAACGATAGGTTGCCAATTCTGAAGAAGTTATGTCTAATAGTGTAAGACTTTCACAACAACCTTTTGTTAATTTACTAAACTTATTATATAAGATATATATATATTCCTTCGGACGCAGAATTCATATTACTGCTGGACACTCATAATACTCTACAGTCTGAATATATTTAAATTAAACAAGTAATTTATAATTTAATTGGTGGATGGTGACTAGCAGTGGAATCCAGGAAGCGCGTTTAGTCCTATTTAGGACTCGTCAACCTGAGACCGAGCACTTCACTCCAATTAATCGACGGGAGAATCTAAAATTCAATTAAGCAATTTATAAGCCAAGCTACCAGCAGTAAGTTACAACATAGTTTTCCGGTATCGAACTATCAGTGGGGTCATTCACCACGCCGAGTGAGAAGGGAAAATACTCGCTGATAACACTGGCTATCACAGCGGAGTTATATACTCTATAATCGGAAGAATTTTGAAATCCTAGACTACTCGATTCCATCTCAGTGGCTGAATAGTCAGTGGGTGGAGGCACGCACTGCCTACTCATGATAACGCGTAAGAGATACATTAAATCACACTTAATATTTTCCAGGCTAAATAGAGTTTGGAATTGTACTGATTCAGTGTTTATCTGTTAAAAACCACAGAGGTGTTTTGACCATCTGCTTAAGAGGACCATTCGACAGATCAATGCAAAGCTAGTTTTTCGAAAGTTACATATCATATGATTCGATGAAAGGAGGAGAGAACACACTTCTCACTACCAATTATATGTAAATCTCAGACGATTCATCTGATTACATTTATTATGAATTGTTAGTTGACGCCTGTTACATGACAGTGATGAACTTCATAGAAACGAAAAAGGCTTTTCCAGACTTAGACTACAGTGATATAAAGATGAATTGCAGTGCATTTCTGTTCACAATAAGTTAATATATGTAACCGTGAAAACTGTCATCGTGTGTCAATGAATCAATATGGTACAATGCCCAGCCACACAGGAGGCTCAGATTTCATTGCCAACTGATGTAATCCCCTAAAAAACTGCATCCCTAGTCGGTCGGTGGTGGTAAGCTGTCATAAGAGGGAAAGTTGCGAATAAGGCTAGCATCCCTACTCCTGCTCTATTCGGAGCTCAAAGAATAAACAGATGCGTCATTCGACAGAAGTACGCGTAGTGAGGGGACACACATGTGCACATAACATACCTGAATTCCAATTTTTACCAGGATTTCCAACGTTATTCATTGCGAAACACTGGTCTGTAAGGTTTGTACTAATAACAGGATTGTAATAAATTGTGTCGTTTGCATTATTAACCCCACATACAGAAGAATTCACTGACGGTTCCATGATGGTAGTAGTTGTCGCTGGAATGTTTGCTGATCTGAGAACTGCTGGAGCAACTTGCTGTGAATGATTTGCCATTATATAACGACTCATATCTAACGTAGTCTGATTATTAAGGGGTTGTGGGGATAATTGCATAGGATGAGATTGATTTTGAAGTAGAGTGTCATTGGCAACAGCTACAGGGATAGTTTGAACAACATTAGAGATTGGACCAGTTGCAGGAAGTCCACCAGTTTGATTCATTGTGTAAGCTGGACTATTGCGATAATTTATTTGTCCATTACTATTGTTACTGTTGAGCACACCACCAGCAATAACCGCCTGTGATTGTATCTCTATCTGTTGTTGTGCGCACAAATTGGCATAATACGTTTCTGTCGGCGACCGGACATGAGAACCAGGCGGTGGAGCTGGTGGATAACCATTGTACCTGAAATGTGGATTCTTCAAATCCAAACTGTTTGTGATCTATAAATTGAAAGACGAATATACGTGAAACCGTAAATTTAAAATACAGAAAGGAGACAAGGTATCAAAGGAATTTGCAGTCTTTCAGCAGGTTACACTAGGACTTGTTTACTAATTCAAAATAATAATTAACACTGAGAAAATAAACAGTCATGGAACAAATAGAAAACTACTCAGGAAGAAAATTTCTTCAGAGAAACGGTCGTCTTCAAAGACTTTACAACAGCAGACTGTTATTGGTTAACAGGGTGTGTGTGTGTGTGACCACCTGACACAGAAGATCGGAAGAAATCACGATACAATTGTCGATAGAATAGGAATAAAGCTTTGAAACTTGATAAGGTGAGAACTGTTACTTGATAGTAGTTAGCAAGGTGGCTGTGTCCATTTGAAGGTAAGAGAAAAAGAAGCTAGTAAAATCCACACAAGGGTGGCGTGTACTCCAAGATTTATAAACAGTATATAGATGTAGATATAAATCTGTGCATCATGTGAAGAATATCGAATAGCGGAGAGGTGGATTTAATGAACGATGCTCAGCACCTGCGATGAATTCTGGGAATTGTTTATTACTATACTACTACGAAGAAACTTGTCCGAAATTCTAAAATCTGGTTGAAATGAAGTTCACTCAAAATTCCGGACAAAAAATAGTGCTTTCCGATGCACAAAAAAAACAACATTACCTTTGTTTGGCTGCCAGGCACTATCAGTTCAATTTGAACATCATAAGACTGCCGAGTGTTGGCATGCATAAGAACACGACCATTGAGTGTTTGACCTTCTTGAACGAACAACGGTGTCCCTAAGAGACAACGTACCTAGTTAAATGTAATAATTAAAGGTAGGTGTCAGTCTAAAAGTTACAATAATAACACAATTGAAGGATTACATATAAAAACTACAAATAACTGAACATACCTGCACCCTATAAACAACCTGGTAGACTCCAGACTTCCTCTCAAAACGCTCTCATATAGCCATTTACTTATAGCCTCTACCAGGTAAATTTTATTCACCGCTCTCACGCAGTAGGATGCTCTCCACAAAAGTGAAGAAGCGAGTCCGAACCTCTGGTGCATACAATCAGACTTTCGGAATTGCATGTCTACCTAGGGCAGCTAAAAAAACCATGATTTCAAACCGACGGTGCACGGCATATGAGCCTGTTTTGGACACCAACAACCTCGGGGACATGACTCATGACGCTGCTCCGTCGCCGCTGTATGGATCAGATTCCAAATGAAAGGCTTGGTGGGGGACTACTAAGACCACCACCTGCTTTGGTTTGGGCGCCCAGACAGTAACCCAGCTCATAATGTAACAAGTTTGTGGTTTAATAATAATACACATGATACGACCATACTAATAAGCTGAATCAATGAAACAGTTATCATTTGCAGACTTTTCACACACCCACCCCTTCACTCAGGCTATGAACTAACTCCTTTACAAGCACCGGTGTTTCTATGATGTTACTAATAAGGTTCGCATGTGTTATCATTAGCATTTCCAAATACCAATAGTTGGTAACAACCCTTATATACGCTGTGATACACCATACAGTAGGTGGAGTGGGGCTTGCATCTGTGACTGGAAGTCAAGTGGTTTAACCAGTAAGCCACACCTAGCTCCACAACCACAATACTTCCCTAAACTGACTACTATATCCTAATTATATCAGAAAGATAAAAGCCTAAATATCCCCTAAGCTCTAAGCACTAAAATTTCATGTATGAAAAACAGTTAAGATATTTTTCAACTTCTCACCTGATACCAATGAGTAAGCGGTTCAGTAGGAGCTGTTGATAACCAAACATCTCGTTGTGAACCCAAGAAACCCACATCAAACCAAAATGCAAGACCGTGAATCTAAAGTCATAGTAGAATGAATACATGAAGAAAACGATAAGCAGTTGTTATAGAAAGTAAAAATGGCAATAAAACTATCTCATATCAATATGAATGGATGCATAGCAGTGATACATACTACAGACAAAAACAAGAAACAAACTCTATTTAACTCAATAACATACAAAGATTATTTCCTGATATATTCTGAAAGACAAAAATAACTAATGAGTGTTACCAAGTTTATGCAAGATCATGAAAAATTCTTTCAGTACAAACAGCCGTGAAAAAAAAAACAAATCCCATGGAAATGACAGTGTGAGATGAATTTCCTAGAGAATACCGACCGATTGATTGCAACAGGAAAACAACAGATGCGCCACATTAATGTCTCTAGTCAATTTGCTCCAGTCAGGTTCTAGCATTTATGCTAACACGCCTGATTACTTTACGAATCTCACGGTTTACCCATAGTGTACAATTTTTCGACCCTTTAGGACAGACCAATGAAAGGAAGGTTTGGTTACATTAGCGTGAATTTGCTTAAATTGGTTCCGTGAGATTCTGGATGTATACCCCATTTCAGTGATTTGGCCCCTGAAACGCTGGCATTTATATCAACCTTCCAAGTGTTTGGTCGAGCTAGGGTTTGGGTGTACATCCTTAACATGGGAGAATACCAGGTTCACGGTTGAAGAGGAGTGCTGTGAGTCTGTCTTAGTATAAGGCGTGCACGACACGTTTGGCTAGAGCTAACGAAATACTAGATTCCAACAGTTTGCATTCAAAGGATTTGTCTGAAGATGGCATTATAAGGCTTGTACAGTCAGCTGTTGGTGGGGATTGAGATTTCTGAATGCGAGACTCCGACACTCAAATATCCAGGAACCTAGCTTCTGTATCAGGTCATCTGCATTGCAGTCGCGGCTACGGTGTATAGCAACGAAGTCAGTATTTTGGCCTTTGCATTTAAGTATGCAGCTTAGAAGCTCGCATGTTTCACTTCTGTGTACGAGGGCTTCAGTGCCGAGGAGGGTTGGGCACTTCTTGAAGTAGATGGCAGCCCCCTTTGCAACTTAGTTGACCCGAAGTTGGACAAGTTAACTTTGTTATCGGTGAAACCGGGTGAGAGCTATGTCTTGTATTGATAATAATATTCGGGTTTTCGGCGTTTACCATAGTACCCGAATCAGTCCATTTGTTCAACAAACTACAAGCATACTGTTAACTGAGTTTGAGACTTACGCGCTCCACCCATAGAGGTTTCGAGATCATCAGATTTCGAAACATGACAACTCACCCTTTCGACACCGTTCTTTCAATTCTAGAGCCACAGACTGTATATTTCGGTACAAACGTATATGTCTGATCCTTTAATATTGTAAGTTGTTTAGTATGGCATCACTGCATCTTTGAGTTCAGTACAACTTCGAGGTGTGCCTGCTGATTAACTGTAGAGAGTCTTTTGGCCGACTATGTAAAAGTCATGGATCGTTGCGCCTGATACTTTTGTAGGTAGTAACTTATCTAAGATTAGTTTGACTAGGGTTGGGTCATGCTCAAATCTGGTCTTTGGATCTGAAGCCACTGATTCTTCCACTTTATGCAGCATGGGCTATTTTTTGAAGAGATCAAGTTTGCTTGGGGTGGCTTTCTACCTGTGTTGAAAGTGTTTTCCCATCATTCCTGAGCAGTGTGAGTTCTATGGTAACTTTGTCTCTCTTTTATGCGGGAATCTACATCTGGCCATTCGCTGACATCCTCTCCACCATCTGTCGTTGGTTTTGTCTGCCTACTATCCCTACTATCCCCTTGCGTGGATGAGGCTCGAACGGCGGGTGAGGAATTCACTCCCTTTTTAGAGTTTGCCCGAACTTATGCGATCACTGAGACATAAATTCCAATGCGTTTCAAGTCATTCAACAACTGTTAAATTGAGAATTGAATATAAAGCTCATTGTTTGTTTGTATCAAGTGGATTGTAAGTGTTTGTAAGTAAGGAAAAATGTTGTAAGACAACTACACACATGCAAGAATGTCCATGTGGTTAGATAAACGAGGCACATCTACTGCTGGGTAAAGGCTGATGATACTGTATTGTTGTAGAAACCATGTTTGGTTGAACGGAGACACATTTGAATGAAACTAACTAGCCACACACACACACACACAGAGCTTGATATATACTTTTCTAACGTCACTATGTTACTAAAAATCAAATACTTGAAACAGGAGGATAATCTTATATGAAAATTCTTTAGATTTCGACGTTACCCTTCCAAGCTATATAATGAAAGAAATTTTTTCTCCAAGCCTTAAGATATCTATAAATACGAATAGTTCATTATTTATTTGATTTGATTACATTGATTCACACCGTATTTAGTACAAGTGTGGAATTTCAGCATGGATATCGGTAGCCAAATTCAGGCCGACCATAGATATCGCCTAGTGTGTATGCATGTGAACACTTGCGTAGTGAATTTCACACCACAATAACAGTGATAACATTCAAGCCAAATAGGATATTGCGTTTGGCGAAATATACTATCATCGCATTACAAAGGCAAAAAATTTATTTTATTTCTTTACGCCCCCAGCGGAACATATGAAGTTTTTCCAGTAGCAGTGGCGTTTATTTTTACTGAATGGGGTTACTAGTACCATGCCCATCCTTTCCTCTTTACCAGTCTTATTGCCGGCTTAGGCAGGGTGAAGGAGCGCGTCGGCCGGCGATCGAACCCCGAACCACATGAGGCGTAGTTGGCGAGTAGTATTCCTAACGCTGAGCCACCGACGTCAAATGATAAAAAATTGGTGTAAAATTTGTTATGTGTACATATCTATGCATGCAATCGAAATGTTAGGAAGAAATGTAAGGCATAATTGAACAACCACTTACATCTGCATATAATCAACAATGATGATAACACTATCTAGATATGCCTGAACCTCAATAAGCGAAGCAGGATTAGTGAATCAGTGGCTTAGTGGTTATAAATCGAAAGGCTAAACACTAATGAGGCATATTTCTACGAAAAAGACTACAACTATCAAAGTGCATAGTTTATTTCACAACACAGAATCATGTGTCGAACAGGAATGTGAACAATACAGTAAAATAAATAATGTAAGAAATAGACAATCGCTTACTGTAGAGCATGTTGTAATGTGATAATTCAAGGGAATATCAATTGAAGCCAACTCAGATTCGGACACAGTACGAAAATCAACTTTATGTATACAAGGTAGGGCTGGACAAATGCCTACATCGAATGTATCCACTATTGGTTGGTTGAAGTACTCTGTCACTGCAGCATTACGCAGAGCAGTTAAATCCATTCCATGAAAACTCTTTTGTAAAAAAAAGAAATAGAAACCGAATAGGGTAACAAAACTAACAAATCAATTATAGTTCATAGATATCTAGATAGATATGTATCGTTAATAGTACTAATTAGCTACTTCGACAATCCAGGTACTGATTACCAGTCAATATTCTTCTATATCTCAATCGTATTCTCCATACAATTAGTGCTAGAAGTATTATCAAATCTAAATACAAATATTAGCAAGTCTACTTGTGCTATTACAGTACTCGTAGTAGTAGTAGTAGCACTCAGTGTACCTGTGATTTGATGGTAGGTGGTCTGGGTCTGATTTCTGGCCGATGCACTTTTATATGTCGCTTAGCCAGTAAAGAGGGAAGGTTGGGAGTGAGGCTAGCAACCCCAACAACAACAACATTGCTACAGAAACTTCAAAATTTAAAAAACGTATATTCCACTCAGAACACCAAAGAATCAAAATTTAAAAGAAAACACGTAGCAGCAATCATCAACTGTATAAGCAATTAGACCACAACACAACACACTATTCACTCTAGTTTCGACTGATGACTGCAGAATACTAAGCCATCAAATGTGGGACCGTATGTAGTTACTGTTTTATCTAATTTGCAATTCGACTTTCAGTTTAGATAACTTTACTAGGAATAGATAAAGTGTGTCAGTGAATGACGATGAGCATACACGGTTAGTTTTAAGTAGCGCATAGATTGAAGGGGCTAGTCATACAGCATATGTCAAACAGGATTCACACTTGGCAGCAAACCAATTTCTCAATACAGTCAATACAGGACAGTCTATCTATCTTACAGGAAGCAATATGTATGTACATGGACGTATTTCGTTCACCATACACAAGAGAAAATAAATATTTTACATAAACACTACGTGCAAACCAAAATATTTCTGAAATTACTACATTTTTCCACGACTGCAGTTTCCAATGAATTCTTTGAGGATAAGACTTCGAAAAACTCACTGTATCTATTTCTACACACCCCTGAATAAAAGTGTGGTACAGAATCTGTAGGGAAAAATCACGTGATTTAGTGGAAACAAACTCTTCTCGATACAGAATCCACACACACACAAAACACGGCATAATTGTAAGATTTACAACATAACTTGTGACACCTGAGAGTAGTCGGTAAAAGACCCTAGAAACTTATGCATTTTGATAAAAATTCACTAGGATTATACTTGGGATTCGAAGGACATACACTAATAACTCAAACCGATAAATTTGTATTACAGTCAGAAAAAACAGAGACCATAACACCCCATTATAGAAGCAATATTTTTGCAACTATGATTATTTATTATAAGCAGATTTATCTGACAACTACTCAATGTGTTTCACTCGTTCACAAGAGCACATCTCTCCAATCTACACGCCGGTTTGTGCATTATGAAATGCACTACACTAACTGTACTCAAGTAGTATTTGAGCTATCTTGACCACGGGTAGGTGATGTTGATACATAAAAACTTGCAGACTGGAAACTAAATGTCTATGCAAATGAGCCGCATGTTGTTTACTTGGTTGTGAAACGAAAAAAAATAATCAATTAGAATTTCTGATTCTTGCTAATCGCTTGAGTTCCGAGTGGTACATAGAGCTTTAAGCTTTGAAGTTTCAGTAGCGATGTTATTTTCACGAGTGGTGGGTTGCTAGTCTCACGACCAGCCTCTCCTCTCCCCGCGTCTAATATCAACGAGATGAGGTTTTGGAAGGAGTATGTCGGTAGTAGAGCCTGGACCTTTAATGTGGCTGATGCGAATTCTACCACTGAAACAGTCAGTTCACAAAGCCGGTGTGCTACTGCCAGGATTAGTGCGGCCACAACGCAATGTCCTAACCATTAGACTAAAGAACGATTTAATGCTGGACACTAAATCACATTGACTACACAAGACCTTTCTTTTTCAAGTAATGCAGGATTAATTAATAATCACCATATGAATACTAAACTGACCTGTTGATACCAAAAGTTGGCCTTTCCATACTGTTCAGCAAATAATGCTTCATCACTGAATGGAACAATATACAAATTGGCAACAGATGGAAACATGATTCCAGGACAAGGTAGGGCTTTGTTGGATAATTTCGGTGATCCGCCATCATCTTCCATATGGTCATCTATATCAATATCTTCACAATCCAATTCATCAGTTAGTACTTCATCGGAGTCATCTGAGTCGGAAAGGTGTTTTTCTACACTGTCTGATGATTGTTGATCTTCCTGATTCAGTCGTTCTGTTTTGCACTTATTTTGTCTCTTTTTTTTAAATGGTTGTCGAAGATGTGGTGCCAGAAACTTTCTTGCATGAACGTATGATTCTAGCATTCTTTCATTATAAAGCATATAACCCATTGGCTCAGAAATGATGACGTCCACTGGTTCAGGAAGTGTGATTTCCTCAATTTTGCCGCTACAATTAGAATAAATTATGTTTTGTTCCTTATTTGATGATATCGATTACATTACGGAAAACCAAATAATGATGATATCTGTTTAATATTCATCAAAAGACTAAATATCAGCTTATGCAACAATTGTTTGAAAGCTTGCAGAATATTATATATATATATATATATATTATATATGCATGTATATATACATATGTGCATATATATATATATATATATATATATATACACTACAACAGAATAAGTTTTTGTACAAAAAGTCCTAACAATCAGATTGTCACAGTGTTACATATATAGAAGATAAGGAGTACTAAACAAAAGTACAAGCTCACTCCGAATAAAACAGAATAAGAGCTAACGACAACTCATGCCTGCGTTAATTTTCATTAGTGGCACATGCATTGAAGTTTCCAAAATACCAGCGTCTGAGGCACAAATTGACTACTATGATGGTATATGAAAAATTACGAGTCGCAAGTATCTATGAGTGTCAACATATCCCGTATTCTGGTGGTATCTGACTGACTGACTGGTTTCAAGATAGAACTTTGCACTGATGTGCAGCAGTTCGAGTCGCCACACTTTACTCAGCACACAAAGCCAGAGAAGAAAGTAAAAAGAAATGCAAAATACAGACTATAAACAGAGACATGAGGCAAAAAGAATAGTAATGTCGAAGAACCATATAGTTTCATCGGGTCACAAGGAGTGGATGCATCTGCGCCAGCCATTAAGAGCGATTTTGAGTCATATCACCAATTGTCTGCAGCCACTGGTTTTTACCGTCCCGAGAACCCCAACCAGGAAGTCCACACCTTCATAAATGCCTTAAACTAACTGTTGTGGATTTCATTGATTTATTCCACGTCTCGGTTTGACCGCTGCTAGCTCTTTTCCAGCCTGACCCTATGTCAGCCAACATCGCCCGACGAGGAAGTCGATGACTAGGCATACGTAACACATGTCCTAACCTTCTCAGTCGGTGTAATTTCAGTCTCGTCGACTGATTTCCCCTTCTTACCTAGCACTCGATGCCTAACCTCAATATTGCTCACCTTATTATACCACTTCACGCGGGAGATAGAACGCAGACACCTATGATCAAAGACAACTAATCTTTTCATGTCTTCCGCTCTCAATGGCCAGGTCTCACAGCCACAAAGGAGGACGGAGCAGACTGCTGAGCAGTACACACGCCCTTTGTTCGATAGTCGGATATCACGTCTACGCCAGAGACGGCGTAAACTGGCATATGCGAAACTAGCCCTCTTTATCCGTGCTGAGATTTCGTCAGAGATCAACCCGTTGGCGTTGACTGATGCAACTTCTCAAATAAGTGAAGTGGTTAACTCGCTCTACCACTTCACTCACTATTTCTAAGCTAGGAGTCAATGTAGTCCAGTCCTGTAGTATAATCTTACATTTGACAGCACGAGCAAATCGCATGCCAAACATTCGCAGATTGCACCTCAAGGCGTTCAGAAAACTCTGCATTTTGTCAGCGTCTTCACCTACAAGGACTATATCATCTGCATACTCTAAGTCAATGAGGTTATTCCCTGGTAACAAGTCAGTCAGTTCGAGTAGAGTGCCTCGATCAGTGCAATGCATTTTCTCGGCATTCGCTTTACAGCCAAGCATCACCATAATACACCTCGGTAGACATAATCGAATGCCACCTTTAGGCCAAGAAATATAACGATCGTCGGACTCTAGTAAGTATGCATATGTTCCAGAATCTATCGAAGGGTGGAGATTTGATCAATACACTCTCGTCCTCGTCTAAAGCCTGTCTGGTTCTCTCGTGTTTGTTCCGCCCGTGGACCACTTAGTCACTGCATGATTATTGAACCTAGAAATTTAGATACCATATTGGTTAGGCTAATTCCCCTGTAGGTATCACAGGAAAACTTGTCTCCCTTCTTCTATATCAGGAATAGTCTTATAGACTTAGAATACGCAGACGACATAGTCCTGTTAGGGGAGGACGCTGACAAAATGCACAGTCTTCTGAACACCTTGAGCAGCAATCTTCGTATGTTTGGCATGCGATTCGCTCCTGTGAAATGTAAGATGCTGCTACAGGACTGGACTACGTCAACTCCTAGCTTAGTGATAGGGAGTGAAGTGATAGAACATGTTGACCACTTCACCTATTTGGGAAGTTGTATCGGCACCAACGGATTGATTGGTGACGAAATCACAGCACGGATCCAGAAAGCTCGGGCTGCATTCGCTAACTTACACCATCTCTGGCGTAGGCGTGACATCCGGCTGTCAACCAAGGGACGTGTATACTGCTCATCAGTTTGCTCCGTCCTTCTCTATGGCGGTGAGACGTGGCCATTGAGAGCGGAAGACATGAAGAGATTGTCTGTTTTTGACCACAGATGTTTACGATCTCTTTCTCGCGTTAGGTGGTATAATAAGGTAAGTAATGTTGACGTTGGGCAAAGTGGGAAAATCAATCGAAGAGGCTATAAAGTTACATAGATTGAGATGGCTAGGTCACGTGCTGCGCATGCCTAAACATCGCCTCCCTCGACGGGCATTACTAGCTGATATAGGTGCAGGTTGGAAAAGAGTAAGTGGTGGCCAAACAAAAACATGGCATCAATCCATGAAATCTCTGACAGTTAAACTGAGTCAGGTAGGGAGATGCAGACTTCCGGGTTGGGGCCCTCGGGACTCTAAGAATCAATGGCTGGAGACAATAGGTGACATGGCTCAAAATCGTTGTCAATGGCGTAGATGTATTCAGTCTCTTTAACCTTCATATTCCTTTCTACCATTACTCATTCTGTTTCTCTCTTATACTTATCTAAATTCTATTGATTCTCTTCACTCATTTTCCTGTCTACCTTTGTGTGCTATTTGGAACGTGGCAACTCGAACTGCTGCACTTCAGTGCCAAGTTCTATGTTGAATCCAGCAGCAGCACATCAGGATAATCAATGACTTACAACAATCCGACGGGACTTCCTCTTAACCCCAGACGCTGCCTAGTATCTTAGTTAACGCGGACAGTAACCTGTCTCCACCGTGCCTCAATAACTCTGGAGCCACTTCATCAGGTCCCGCTGCTTAGCCTCGCTTCAGATTAGTGACAGCTTTTGTAACGTCAGTTAGGGACGGAGGACCTGTTTATATATTCAGAGAGTGACTGTAGGTCAGTTGAATTGCCCCTCAAAGTGTTCTTTCCAACGTTCCAGTCATCTATCGTGAGAGCTAATTATGGTGCAATTTTTCTCGGAGATCGTTTCACTTTTCATTTGACGTTTACAACCTGTTCCTCTGATCATTCCAAATAGTTGTCTGATGTTACCCATCACCGACAACTTTTCCACCTTTTTCGCTTTTGTCGCCTACCACTTTTTACGGTTGTTACGAAGGCTTCTTGTTAATTTGCGTTTGAGTAGCTTTGGCTCCTTATTATATTCGGAGCTCGCCGGAATCAGTCGAGTGAGATGGTAGATGTCCAATGGCTCTTACTAACTTTAGGTTTCAGGTTATAAACAGCTTTTACAGCTGTGTCTACAGCTAACTGTATGTTGTGCCAGGCCACCTCATGAGGAGTCCTGCTGTCGACCTCAGATACTCCTTTCGATAGTTCTTCCTTAAAAATGGACTCAGTGTCTTAAACTAGTTGGGGACGTAACTGTTTCGCTGCCAACAATTTTTTATGTCCGTTTAATCGTAAGCATAAACGCGCGCGAAGTAGGGCATGATCGGAGTCTAGGCACGTGTTCCAGAATGAGTGGCAGTCTTCTACTGACCCTCGCCAACCATACCCTATCGTTATGTAGTCTATCTGAGTCCAGCGTTGATTTGGTGATGGAGGTCGTCGGGTTATGCAATGTCTCTCTTTGTGCCTAAAGTTAGTGCTGAGTAGGAACAGATGATTGTTTGAACAGAACTGTAGAAGACGATCACCGTTGTCGGTTCGCCGGCAGGGAACTCCATACGTCTGGCACTACTTCCCTACTTGGACATTCAAGTCGCCTGCTAAAACAACTATATCTGAACGTTTTGCTTTTTGCAGCAAATTAGACACTTACAAGTAGACATCATCCTTTAGTTCATCAGAACTGAAGTCTTTTGGGGCGTACGTGGAGACCATGAAAAAGCAACGACGGGTCCTTCATTCTTCTAACGGACCTGTTCAGACAGACCGCACACACAAACCTGGGTCCAGTCAAGAAAGGATTTTTCTGCCGTAACACTCAAAGCTACTCTACACCTGCAAGTCCTCGCGAACTAGCCAACGGGTCTCCTGACACCCCTAAAGTGAATTTTGCAGATTCACATTGTTGTCCGGGTGAGATTAAGTGAATGACCACATTCGGGTCTTGTATGTGTGTCTCCGAAACACAACATACATCCATGGCTCGAGATGCCAGAGTTCTTGCTAGTGATGCCTGTTGTTCGGTTGGGCAGAGGGTCCTGACGTTGAATGCTCCTCAATATGAAGTTGGAGACGTGGCTTTAAGAGGTTGTCGGGGGTGTTTATGTAGGTATCATCGTTGTTTGTGGTCGTAGAGTGAAGTGAAGATGACTCACTAGCTTGAAGAATAGTACTAACTGTAGTAGGGGAGTGAGATGATGGTGATGTGAGTAAAGGAGAATGATGCTCAGGAAGGCTTCATGTACTCTTGGAAGTGTGTGGGCGGTTGTTACTTCCCGGCTGCCCACACCGTGGAAGTTGGTTGAGTCTTCGGGTACCTGAAATAGAAAAAAGGGGTACTGTTGCGTGACCGCGGAGTCCAGGGGACGCCTGTTTGAGGCCGGTCACGGACCGCCGTAAAGTCGGGATGTAAAATTGTTGGAGTCGACCTTTTCTAACCCTCTCCCTCCTGAGTGCAAAGACAGCACAACTGGCAAGCTAGTCATATGAGGGAAACACCTCACTGCTGTTACATCCCTGTTCCTCAGCAGAACGACTTCGCCCGCAGACCCCCAGCATGGTGTAAGAAAAAATTCTTACACTATGCCGGTAACTGCTTTTAGTCAAATCGCTATCCTAACAACCTTCCTGGCATGGTGGGACCTGCTGGAGCAATAGTTCCAGCCAGTGTAGCTTGTTGGGTCATTGTGATATATGATGATGACTATGGTATCTATGATGACTATCACAATGTAAGTTAGTATTATTTTCTGGCCTCTAAAAGAGAGCGTGATTAATGCAACTTAGTGACAAATAAATGAAATGAATGGCTAAATTAACAGAACAAAACTATTGTCAGCTCATAAAAATGACATGGGACACAAATTTCTGCTGTTTGGTTGGTTGTATTTGAGGAAATATATGCACAATGAATTGATTATGATGAAGACTAACCTGATAACAACGATTCGTCCCGCCAATTTATTTGCTTGAACTAAGCTATTACAATGAGAAGCCATATTTGACGCTTCAACTGCATAAACTCTAGTTGCACCCGCCTGTATTGCAAAGAAGCTTAAAATCCCTGAACCTGCACCAACATCCAATACCACTTTTCCACGAAAATCAGCTGAAGCATTTGCAAGAATTGCTCTTTGATATGTTGATGTACGGATATAGTCCTAGAAAATGTAGATCACAGTATGGCTTGAAAATAATCAACATAAACCAAAAAAGGAAAAAATAGAAAGAATAAGACTAGATTGTGAGACAAACATCTTCATAAACGACGAAACTAAACCAATATACGGACAGTTAAGCCTTCTTAACCATGCATAACCAGCCAGTAAAAATTCCCTAGTACTAACTAGCTACAGAAACCACATTCATTAAACTGGGACAGCAAAACTGTTCTATGTTGATAATAAGATTCAAGTATGGAAAAGATAAAATACGATCACTTAAGCAACAAATCTTCCTCAATTTACCAAGTTTCTTTCCTTTATACTACTCAAAAATTGAGTTTAGTATAATTACTTCTAGGAAAATTATCAAAGCGACCACACCATTTAATAGTACATAGAGTGCAATACACTTCTGAAAGCAATCAAGCTATTGAGGGTCAGGAAGGCTGCAGGATCGGAGGAAGGCACTCTTGGAGCACAAAACAAATCCACAAACTGCAGCACACACACTGATGCCACTTGCGGAAATTGTAGAGAGAAAGAAAGGGACTAACCGGTTGGAACAAAAGCCATCTTGTCACATTAATATGCAATTACAAATCAGGCCTTTTTCAAGAAATTACACGGAATCAAGCTCCTGTCCAAACCAAGAAGTCGCGCTATCCTGGAGACTGAAACATGCAAAATTCCGACTGGTACAAGCTGGGTTCAAGGTGGGAAAATCATGTGCAAATTAAATTGCAACGCCAAGCGTCATCATCAAACAAAGCACAGAATCGCAGTCTAATCACTAAATCAACTTCGTCGACTTTCAAAACAACTTCGACAGAGTTGACTGTGAAGTAATTCGGAAACTGATTCAAAACTTCAGAGTGCCCCAAATCGTTACCAACCTCATTCAACAGCTATATGATGATGTCACATGTCAAGTGATTTACAATGGGGAAGCCAGTTAAGACAAGACTGCATACTATCACCGATGGTATTCTTGATTATATAGGACTGATCATGCAGCAAACCATGGGCAGTGAGAAGGCAGGAATATGGTGGGCCGATAAACAAGATCTAGAAGACCTAAACTTTGCTGATGATTTATATCTACTGACACGCAAACTCGAAGACCGACGGGCAAAATCAACAAACTAACTGAAGAAGCAGTGAAGACATGATTCCTGGGGAAGATAGAGAAGATGGAAGTGATGCGAACACCTAATCACCATCAACAAGCACCAATTACTGTCATCAGGAGAAACTTGAAGGAAGTCACTTCCTTCACTTATCTAAATAGCACTGTTTCAACTATGGGTGGGATGGATCGGGATTTTAAAATCAGGATTAGAATGGAAAGACCGAACTACGTTACTCTGAAATCAGTGTGGAAATCTTCTGCACTCAGCATATGCAAGGAGATTAGGATTTTCAACACGTGTTCTTCTATGTGGTTCAAAGAATTCGCCTATCAGAGAAAGCTTTTAGAGCAGGATTCAGACGTTAATCAACAGCTCGCTTCTCCCCATACTGGAGATCAACTGTCTGGTCGGAAAGGATTGGCATCAAGGAACTCGAGAAACGAATCCAACAAGATGCTATACCTCAGAAATGTGTGAAAATTTGAAAATTACAATTTACACATTTCTTTGGGAAAAGAAATATATTCTTTTTCAATTAGTTGTTCATCATCGGCTCTACACTAATGTTTTCCACAACAAAACTGTACCAATCATGTCGTTATTTTAATCCATATGCATTTGAAAACTTTCAATTACTTAGTTACTCTTGCCATACATGTATACATTAATACAGATAATAATGCCAACATCTTCATTTATGTCTTGCGACCCACTGAGAACTACACTAGTCTTAATATATACAGGAATTAATCAACCATATGCAGTAATTCTTCGTGAATTTCCATTCTATTCTTTTGTCCTTTATAGTTTCTGTCAACTTCTCTATCCTACTGCGCTAGATGGCATATGGCGACTTAACCTGCCACACTTTCTTGCTAAGTCCTTCATAGAAAAAAAACTCTATTTAACTATTTGGATTTCGCTTCGTCCAGAAGAGCTTGTACAGTCACAGTTCATGTATATTATGAGGATGGCAGTACGGTTGTCGCTCAAATAAGCGACGTCAAGTATTATCCATTAGTATGTATGGACCAGAAAATGAATATTCAGATAAATCTAACAGCCGTTTTAAACGTAGGACTTTTCGCCGACGTGGAGCATTTTCATCCAGCACGCTTAACTTGGCACACAGAGCAAGAGAAGAAATTAAGAAGAGATTCAAAATAGATAATAAAGAGATATGAGGCAAAAAGAAAAATCAAATAAACAGTTCGAAAGACCGTAAACAGGAAATATTATGTCAGCAGAGATTATATAGTCAAACGACTTCACCACACACGGTGACTGTAATGATAATAAACTTAGTTATTCACAAATGAACAATGCACAGCACCAAGGTATGGAACTTACTTGCATCATATTTTGCTGTTGACTAATGTAACTGTAGAATTGAAAGTACTGAACTGCAGACCACGAATCTGTTCGTTTGTCGAAGATAGAGGAGCAAACTCCCTTATTTTTCTCATCTTTGGACTTTGAAACATCGATCGAATCCTGGATATGAATTTACAAGTTATACACTTACTAGAAATCTGCGAATGTCTCCGAGAGAATCGAAAGCCAGCATGTACGTCACAGACGGCCCCTCTGCACCGTTTTTTCTCGTGCATATTGCCAGTGTCTTCTGAGAGAAACGGTGAACATCAACTAAAGGAGTGAGACGGATTTCCTTTACAACTTCATTATTCTTTCTTTTACAACAATGTTAGCGCTCATAGACACTTACTGCATAGTAATAGTTTTGCGATTTCTCACTTCAACCGTTAGCCCGCTTCCAAGAGTTCGGCAGGTGAATTGTGCCTCATCAAAAATACGAAGGTCAACATTATGATAATCCGCTGACATGCTCAGCGCCATACTCGGAATTCGCGCGTTTTCAGCTAACTAATCAACTCACTGAAACTATCCAGTCACCAGTGCATGTTCCTACGGCTGATGATACAGTGAAAATATGTCTTATTTTTGAACTATTTGAAGATGCATTAGATAGTGTGTAAAATATAGATTCATGTTTTAGTTACTGGGTTGGCGGCATAAGGCTTCAAGCCTTTGGCAGTCCTTTCCTAACAAGCACCTATGCTTTTCTAACCCCTCCTTCAAGTAGCCTATTTGGATACCACTTGATATCAATTTCAGGCTCTGGCCAGGCATTCCCTATCTAGTGAGTGTTGAATGCCCTTTTCACTTGACTAAATATTCCTCTGTATATGGTTGAGCAGAGTGAAATGCAACTTATTTCTAATCTTCAAAGTCATTAGGAAACACTGTTACAGTAACTCATGCATAACGTGAACAAATATAATATCATATCAGCGGCGAAACCACGACTACATTCTGAAGGTGGCTACCTACAGAAAATCCATTAGGGTAAACTTTTCCACCATTAAATATTGAATTCTTTGGAAACAACTACCATCTCATTTAAGATATTGTGAAAACCCCGATGGGTTCAGACGGAGCCTAGAAAGACACATCAACATGTCCACCCTAGCTCGTCTGAAAGACGAAAGCTGTTGGTAGAATGGTCAATGAAAGCCAGTCCAGTCCTCAGTATAGTCACTTATGTATAAATTTTGATAGCATTATTAGAAGACGGAGATTATCTGAAAAATGTGATGTATTAGCGCTATACATTTCGAACAATCTGATCACACATTTACTTGTCAGGTCAATATATATGGAAAAGTTAAATTAAACAAGGTGTGATCAGATTGTTCGAAATGTATAGCGCTAATACATCACATTTTTCAGATAATCTCCGTCTTCTAATAATGCTATCAAAATTTATAAAAGGGACTAACTGTTTTAAACTTGTGTGTAACTCGACTCCACTACTTACGTAGCGAACGTTTAAGTAATTTACTGACTTTCTTATCTCTATAATCTTCAATAAGTTGTGTTATTACAAGTAACTCTAGAAGCAATTATATAAGCAAACACACCTTTTAATATTTTACATGCATATTATACAGTTAATAATATACTGCTATTTTTGTGTCGAAATAGCTTTACTCAGTCAATAACTACCTTTCCTTACATACTTTTCTAAAGTGTATAACATTATTACCCTTCGCAGTATTTCTTCCATAACATAAGTTGATGGGTCACTCTGCAATGTCTTACGCATGCCATATAAAAATCGGTCGTGAAAATTTAGCACAACTAGCTCTGTTAACCAGCTGTTAACCTCGGGTTCATTCTCCATAATTCTATCACTGATTGTTTGACTACTTATTCCACTCCGCCAGAAACACCATAACTTTCTGTAATACCAGCTACTTCTATACTTTTACTTCTTAAAGTACACTCAATTTCCTAGTCGTTTGCAGCAAATACTTGTATATATGTATGCACGTGTAAAGATGATACTGCTAAGGATGTCCTCAGGTACCGATGTACCTGGTGACCTAATGGGAAGAATTTATCATAATAATAGTTTAATATGTTGTACAAAAGGGTAAGTTTACAAGAAATGCATGCCATTTTTACTGGCACGATCACTTATGTCATAAATTACAATCCTGAAGAGTCGTAAATAATTACTTTTACAAAAGTTTGAATTGTTCGATTAGTGTACAAGCAATCGGAACAGGTTCGAGTAAATATTAAATAGTAAACCCTTCAAAAATATCACCGTCAAGGTTAACCGACAACTCAAACTTCGTTCCGTTTTCCGCTGATAGTTATGGTCAACCAACGAACAGCGTATATTTGAGTGAGTGCTATGCTGCGATGCGATTAAAAGCTACTTCAGGAAGAGGAGAACGTTCTGAGAAGCTGCAAAATGGTATCAAATACAATTATGGACAATGCATGGTTGAAAGTACAGTTTACAATTTATTTAGGATAGTAGGCTATATGCCTGTGTTAATCCTTTCTATTTGTTGCACACAGGAGGTCCAATCTCGCCTTGAATGAATCAACAGATGCAGCTGATACGACATGTTCCGGTAGGGAGTTCCAATGGTTCACAATTCCATGAGAAAAACGCATCTCCAGACGCAGACGATTCGACCGTGGTTTTTGAACATTGAGGTAATGTCCTCGCAATTCGTTGGTTCTAGAAGGAAGAAATAAATTAGATAGATTAGCTCCAAAATCATTTCTTACGATACGGTATGCTGGTATTAGGTCACCCCTAAGTCGTCTGTATGACAGCGGAAATAAACCCAGTCGACTTAACCTCTCTTCATATGAGAGGGTTGAGAAACCCTTTATTAGCTTAGTTCCTACTCTTTGCACCCTTTCTAATAAGTCTATTTCGTATTTGAAACACGGGCTCGCTGCCTGGATCCCATGTTCCAAATGAGGTCTGATATAAGTTGGATATAATATACGAAATATTTCAGCGTCAAAGTTCGCAAAAGCCTTTCGTATGGTTGAAAGTACATTAACAAGACATATATGAGAAGAAGATGGCGACTTTTTGAAATGATAGCGTACATTTGCAATGTTTAATGATAACCACATTAGTCTCAGCATGGAAACTATGTTTTGGACGAAAATATAGCTTTGTTCAAACATTGGTGTTGTTGTGTTTTCAATCAAAGCAACGCGACTTTGAGCAAGCAACAAATGTGAACAAAGAGTAAAATGTAGCTTTAATAAAGGCCCTGGTGGTTAAGATAATATAGAGTATAATAGTGCGTAAATAAAAAGATTATCGGGATTTAGATGAGTGATATTTCAGCGAGAAGCGAATTTAAAAATTTGGAAGATTAGAACCCGTAGGACGAACCGGCCAGTAAGACGTCTCCCCAATTTCTGTTGAGCTTATGGGGCGGCATCTTGACAAGAAGCTGAGTAGATGAAAGCGTTTTTTATAATTTACATATGTACAACTCTTATTTTTTCTTTTTTGTTGAGGTTCCAGACTAATGTTTATTTATCGAGCTGTCAAAAAATACATGTTGCTGTCCTACAGATCGGAGCGATTCATATTTGTGACCACTTCCTGCCATTAGTGTGCAGCATACAGTATGATTGGGACGGGTTCAATCAATGCAACGCTGAAATTACAGTTATCGCAGAGCTTAACATCAAAAAGTAGGGGTGGAGTGGTGCATGCTGGTCAGCAGATATGGTAGTGCTTACAAATATGAGTGGTCCTGATCTGTATGACAGCAACATGCATTTTTTGATAGCTCGAGAATTAAACATGGGTCCAGACCCTTAACAAAACACAATACAGCAAGTGTTGTACGGATCTGAAATTTTAGAACATGCCTTTGCTCCTAATATCCAAAAACCTACTCAGCTTTTGCCAAGGTGCCACCCCATGGGCCCTACACAAATTCGCCAAACATGTAGCAGGTTAGCTTGTCCTACAGGTTCTATGCTTTCAGAACTTTGAATGCACTCCTCACTGAAATATCACTTATCCACGCACTATTATACTCTATTTAATCTTCACTACCTAGGTCTTTATTTAACCTAAAACGTAATCCTTTGTTCGTATTCGATGTTTGTTAAAAGTCGGGTTGCTTTGGTGAAATAACGCAACGACTACAATATTTCATCGAAGCTATATTTTCAGTGAAAATGTCGTCGTTTCCATGCTAATACCAATATTATTATAATATTTTTGTGTGTTGAAGTTTCTCCAGAGTTTGAATGATTTAGTGTTGTGAATTTGCTAGCCCGACGCCCATCTCTCTCTCTTTACCCGGAGACCTAGTTAACTAGGTGAGGCTAATAATAATAATTTATATTTTCATATAAACACAAATTTACATGAAAATGCATACCATTTTTACAGGCACGATCAAGTATGATATAATGACAAATAGTAGATTGTCTACAAGTTAATAATGTTTGAACAGCTAAATATTTGATATATATATATATAAATACACTCATTGTCTGACCCATGTCGTATTATTATTGAATTAAACAGTAGTCCTCCAGGTTGCGCAGGAAAATCGACTTCGTTTCGTTTTCAACCCGTGTTTGCAGGCATACGATAACCAACCAATATTGAGGTAAGTACAATGTTTACAAGGGATAGTAAGCTGTTTTAGAAAAGTAAAGGTGCTAAGGTGAATCATTAAAGTGCAATGACATAGGTAAATGCAGTGTATCATTAATAGATGCATTCGTAAAGGAAATACAATGGGAGGCTATAATCCCTAGGCTGATAGAGTTCATTTGCAATGTATACTGCTACCCATATAGGTCTTACTATCATGATGTCCACTTTTGGTTTTAGTACAATTATCCCCAAGCCGGTTGTTTTTATTTCATACCTTTTTGTGTATTTGGTGATACCAATATGTTTATCAATAAACACTGCAAATGTATGCTATCATTTCAAGGAGTCGCCATCTTCTTCTCATATATGTCTTGTTAATGTACTTTCAACCATGCATTGTCCATAATTGTATTTGATACCATTTTGCAGCTTCTCAGGACGTTCTCCTATTCCTGAAGTAGCTTTTAATCACGCGGCAGCATAGCACTCACCGGAATATACGCTGTTAATTGGTTGACCACAACTATCAGTGGGAAGCAGAAGGAAGTTTATGTTGTCGCCTATCTTTGATGGTGACCTTAATAAAGGGTTTACAATTTCAAATTCATAATAACTTGTTCTGATTGCTTGTAAAATTGTAACGACAGAAGACATTGGTCAGGTAACAGATCGTTTATTGAGAAAATCAACACATATTCATAGATTTTTATGTGCATTATTATTCATTATTATCAGCTGGGAAACAGCGTCCTCTGATTGGTTGTTATCTCTCTGAAATTTTATCAGTCATCTCTTTGTGGCCAGCTTTTCGAAGGTCTGACCATATATCTGCGAATTGTATCCGACCACACAAAGTCTGTTGTTGTTGGTTGCTGAGTTAATCTCTGTTCTTGTTTGTTCTCATAAACA